CAAGGTGATTTAGCACTCTCCTGAGGTGCCTCTCTCTCTATATATATATATATATTATACTTCCACATGAAAGGGCCATTTGGCCTTGAGAGACTGCGAAGACACCGGTTACCATCCCCCTTGTACCACCGTTGTGGGACAGGAGACGGGCCTCGGAGGGCAAACAGAGCACCTGCCCTAGGGTTTAGGCTCGCCCTGCTGATTTCAGCGGACCCAAGGCTGGGCTCTCCTGGACAGCCGAGGCTCACCTCCGCCCTGCTGGACCAACAATAGGAGGCCAGGGACAACTAATTGGATCTGCCCGTTGAACCAGGAAAGCCCCGGGGCCACTGTCTGAGCCAGACCCATTCGTAAAGAATGGAAGGGGAGACTGATCGCCTCCCATTAGCCAGGGATACCCGGGGGTGGGGGTGGGTGTCCAACCTGTTTAAATCTGAACAGTGCCTGACTGTGTGAATGTGTCTGTATGGCTCCACCACTTCGGCTAGGAGTCTGATTGGGCTGCACCCTGAGTCTCGCAGGGTGTCATATGGCATAACGGTCACCTACTCCATGGAGTAGCCTGGTCCAGGGCTTATATGGACAGACCTTAGCTAAGACGCTCCTAAGTTCCCATGAGGGATGCAAGCAGGACAGCATCTGAAAGATCCCCCTCCCTTTTGTCTGCAACATCATTCACTGGAAACCCAGTAAACCCACTATCTTAAGACTGCATGCTTAAGAATAAAAAGGGAAGACATTGGTATAAAAAAAGCTGGTTTTCTCTCTGTTTAAAAGGGCAAAGTTTTCTTAGGTTAATTGATCTGTTTTAAAAAAATGTAAATGGTTTTCTCTTTGCCTGCCCAGAGTTGTAAATGAGGTCTCTTTGATTGACTCATAAGGCTTTCCCTTGATATGCTAAGTTACTCAGGGAGTACTGCTAAACCAATGATAAACCTTGGGTTACATTTGGGTAAATGCTGTAACTACTCTAGAGGTTCTATACATTTCCTAAAGTGTTAATGTTTTGATAAGGGTCATCGTTTGATATTTAACCATATCTGTTCTGAGTTTTTGTCATTTGTAATTGTTTTAATTCTCTTGTAAGATGAATTCCGCCCTAAAGGAAATTCATATGGGAGACTTTCAGGACAAATACAGGTCTTTGATATGTTAAAATCCTGGAACTGAAATGAATAAGAATTTCCAGAAGTAAAAGCTGCATTTGGACTAAACCAGAATTAGCGACATGGGAAGCAACATAGGACTAGATGAACTGGAAGATTGTAATGTTGTGTCTCTCGATGTTTTGTCTTATTTTAAGCATTACTGGTTCTGTAATGTTTGCTCTTCCAGACTAGGCAGACTTTTTCTTAAGTTTTCTGTAACTTACAGAGATGTAAATGTACTCATTTGTAAACAAATCAAGGCATTCAACTTTTCTCTCTATCTGAACCCTCTGAAACCAAAAGGTCTCAGCGAGTATTCTTTCTTCCATGGCAATCAGTCATTTGCATAAGTTCAATAAGAATCTGTTCTCCTTGTAACAGGACAGTATTGGAAACTGGTTATTTTACCAAGGCTTTGACTGGAATGTCATATTTGAAAAGACTCAGATATGACCAGACAGCTTAAAGGAACTAAGGTTGACTTTATAAAACCTGGAGCTGTAAAGCCCCTTGGAACTGTTGGCCTGATACCTTGCTTACAGAGTTCCCAGCAGCCTCACCAGGTGAGTAAAGAATGTCACTTCCTGGCAGGATACTTTGGGAACCTCAGGAAGAGGAATTTGCCCAAATCGACAGGTATTGCAGGCATGTCCGATGGCAACTACGTGGTTTGGCTTCTGGCCCAGAGAGGCTACTAAAAGTTCAACCTAGAGATTCCTTATAAGAAGTTCCAGCAAAGCAGATTCTAAAAGATTTATATGATCACACTCACTGTTCTTTCTGAGCTTATGTGAATAATTAGGCCAAGTTTGTTAAAACTGGACTTGTTCTTCAAATGAATTAGTCCTGATTTGGCTATCTCTGGGAATGAGGGTTATTTTAAAAAGAAAAATTATGTTTTAATAACACACCTTTATGGCTAGATTTGGTTGTCTTTACTCTGCAGGAGAAATGGTATCAGGTGTCAGCAATGAAAGCACAGCTTTGTCAGAGCCACGCCACTTATTTAGGCTTTGATCTCCACAAGGGAGTTTCTTGGGATGGTGGGCTACTGTAGGCTGTGGATACCGCGGTTCATAGAGATGGCCTAACCTCTCTACAAACTGGCTAAGGGAGGACTCACTATGATAGAGTGTATAGCTGAGGCAAAGGAGCATTTCGGGAATTACAAACAGCCTTACTGAGTGCCCCAGCATTGGCCATCCCAGATGTTACCAAGCCCTTCCATTTGTACGTGGATGAAAAGGCAGGGGTGGCCAAAAGAGTTTTGACTCAGACTCTGGGGCCTTGGCAAAGGCCAGTAGCTATCTTAGCAAGAAACTAGATCCAGTAGCAGCTGGGTTCCCAACCCTTGCCTCTGAATAATTACTGCCACGGCCCTCCTGGTCAAGGATGCAAGTAAATTGACTTTGGGTCAAAATCTCATCTTGACCACCCCTCACGCTATCGAGGGCCTTCTCTGGATTCCACCAGACCAGTGGATGACAAATGCCCGAGTGATGGGATATCAGGCCCTCCTCCTCAATAAGCCAAAAGTGACTTTCCGGCCCCTGGCGGTCCTAAATCCAGCCACATTGCTGCTGGAGGAGCTGGCTGACCACCCACATGACTGCAGGAGGTCCTAACCCAGGTCACAAGAATAAAGCCGGATGTCAGAGACACTCCCCTCCTGGATGTGGAGATGACTCAGTTCACAGACGGGAGTAGTAACTACATGGTCGATGGAACAAGGTATGCGGGGGCTGCGGTGGTTTCTCCTGAGCAGGAACTCTGGATGACAGCCCTGCCACATGGAACCTCGGCACAAAAAGCAGAGCTGAGTGCACTCACCAAGGCACTGCAGATGGCCAAGGGTAAGACCGCCAACATCTCTACAGATGGTAGGCTGGGTAGAGGCTTTTTCTGCTAAACATGAGATGGCAGGAGTGGTAGCCAAAAAGGCTACTAGAGGTTTGGGTTACCTCTCACGATTGGGTCATACAATGGCCCTGCATTTGTGAGTTCAGTCTCACAGGCATTGGCAAAGGCCGTGGGCACTAATTGGAAACTACATTGTGCCTACCGGCCCCAGAGTTCTGGGCAAGGAGAGAGAATAAACTGGACTCTTAAAGGGACCTTGACAAAGCTAATTCTGGAGACTGGCGGTGGATGGGTGGCTCTCGTTCCTTTTTCCCTCCTCAGGGCACAATGTACATCCTGCTTAAACAAGTCATTGCAGGCATTGCAGTCTGTCTTGGAAGGAGCCTTCGCAGGGATCCGAACTGCCCACACTGGGATGGAGACAGAGGTGGAACCACATCCCTACCAACCTGGGGACTTGGTTTGGATACGCCGCCACCAAGTGGGAAACTTGGAGCCTTGTTGGAAGGGACCGTTTACTGTCATCCTGACCACCCCCACGGCAATAAAGTTGAGGGCATTGGGGCCTGGATTTGCACAGGTCACATCAAATGAGCCAAGGATGAGGACGCCCCTCAGAGATGGATGCCGCTGCCGATGGACCCCACCGATTGTGGACTAAAGCTAAGACTCAAAAAAAAAAAAAAAACCAAACAAACAAAAAAAACAAACCAATGAGTTCATTAAGTTCATTGTTGCTCCTGATGTTAAAGTATAGGTGGGAAATATAGACAATTAGGGCTTGACATAGTATTTCTAGAAAAGGGGGGCTCTGTGTAGCCCTAGGAGAGAAATGCTGTTTCTGGGTAAATCACACTGGAGTCATTAAAAACAGGCTGGCAGCCGTGAAAAGAGACTAGAAGGGTCAAGGATTTGATTAATCTCCAAAGAAAAGGGGGGGAATGTAAGGGCCTATTTAGCCAGAGGGGCCCCACTTCGGTTGAACAGCCATTTTGTTGTTTATGCAGTAAATTTTAAATTGACCCTGCCCCTCCCAGGGGAATTTACTTAAAAGCAAGTCCAGGAAACCAGTCCCAGATAACTACGCCCAAATACAAGGGTGGGTCAGGTCAGGTGGAGATAACAGCCCAAATGCAGGGATGAGTTGGGTCAGGTGGAGACATGCAATCAGTAGAGCGGTCATACTGTCTCCCTAGCTACCAAGGAGTGTGGGCCCCGCCTTTTGGGTGCCAATTCTGACCAAGGTGATAGGCTAGTTCAAATAGCTACTATAGGTGAATTGTAATTCAATTGGCCACCCCTGTGTGACCTAGCATGACTGTGCATCTTTCTCTGTGTGTTGCAATCTCATTGGCCACCTGTGTGTGGCCAGGCTCAACCAGATGGCCTTTGCTCTATAAAAGTTAGTCTGTGAGGCAGGGAGGGGTCGCCCTCTCTGTAAAGGGTGACCCCGACCGGTTTGTTTGACGGTCGGTTTGGTTCTTGATGCTTGGCATGAAATAAAGCTTTGCTTGACCTTCGCTTTGTATCAGTCTCGCTCCTTTGACCATGGACCCATTATTGGGGGACCCAACAATATTGAGGAAGCATTTATCTGCTTCAAGTCTTTCTCTTGGCCTCCTAGTCTTTATGTCTTCATTTCTTTGGTTGTTAGGTCTCACAAATGGCACTGGAAAGGATTAAAGGGAACACAGGCACAGCCTCCAAGAAATACCAAACCCAGAAATACAACATTGAATCATCATTTTCCAGATTGCAGGCACATACTGAGAAAGGTTCAATTAAAACAGGAGGGGGGAAAAAAAACACAAAAAAACAAACAAACCAAAAAAACCAGGAGGCCAGGGATTGGCAAAAGTTTACTAGAAAGGGTCTGATAGTAAATATTTTAGGCCCTGTGGGCCTTATGGTTTCTTTGTAGTGACTCAGCTGCTGTCCCGGTAGGGAAGTAGTCCCAGACAATAACAAACAAATGAGTACAGTTATGTTCCAATAAAACTTTATTTGCAAAGGTAGTCGGTGGGCCAGATTCAACCCAGGGGCCTTAGTTTGCAGAACCCCACACTAGAATCTGAAGAAGCCAGAAGCCATCAAAACTGGCTTCACGAGTCTTCTGAACTTTGATAGGGGCTCCATTCTATCTCCTTCAGAAAGGACAAAAATCCACTGTTTTGGGTGTGGCATCAGCTTTCTTCTGATTATTTTGATTTGTTTTGTTTTGCTGTGCTTTGGTATTTTGATGTTCCTCTGAATGAGTTTTCTCGATCCCTCCTTTTTGTCTTTATTTCTCTCTTTCTGTGAATATCTCTAAATGCTTCCCATTCTTCATTTGTCCTCTTGCACCCACAGGGTTTGGAGATTGTAGAATGAGACTCTTTCACATACATCCTTGCTAAAAATCCTGGCTTCTTTTCAGGTTCCTCATCTGTATGGGAGTACAGAGGCAATGTACAGCCAAGAACACTCGTCTGGATCACTGGGTTGGATGTACCACCACCTTGCTGTGTGACTTTGAGCCAATCACCTAACCTCTCAGAGACTCCCTTTCCTCATCTGTCAAATGAGAGAGTTGGCTAACTGATCTAGCTACAGCCTCAACCTGAGGCAACTGTCTGAGGCAATTAATGACAATGTCACTCATAGACCTTAATGAAACCCACTGGAGGTCACAGAAATTAACCACATGATCCCTGGTACTTGACAACCTTCCTAAGGCTTGTGCAACTGAGGGGGTGGACATACTAGCTAACCTGAGAGAATCTGAGAGCCCAGCCCAGAGACAAATGACTCCAGGATCCCTATGCTCCAGGAAAATTAATTTGCATTCCTAAACTTCCATTAAAGTAGCTACAAAATGGCCAAAAATATTGACTCAGTTGGAAACAGGACTCTAGAGAGCTACTGTTGGAGGTGGGAGGCTTTCTCTTCTCCACTAGACCCTCCTGTGTTGTGTGGAGCTCTTCCAGCCAGATAAAGGACAGCCCTCAAATCCCACCAAATAAATGGATGAGTAGGTCATGAGGAAATGGAGGCAAATTTCAGTGCCAGAGGGAAGAGGCTTTCTCTGCAAGCACAGAGGAGGGACCTCAGGGAGGATCAGGGAACCAGGACTCTGGCTGAGGCAGGGGTTGGTGGTGGTGGTTAGCTGAGGTAGGGGCTGTGGGTGAAATTTATACAGCATCATCCTCACTCTCTCGGGCTCCCCCAGCTCCTACCCCAGCAGCCTGTGGATGAAGCAAATGGGCAAGGGGCTGTCCCCCAGCCCCCAATTTTCCTGTACACAATCTCAAGGGATGGGGAGGGAGTAGAGAAGCCCACATCCTGGCTTTCAGAAGAGCAGGCCTTTATTGTGTGACTCGGCTAAAGCTGCCTCATTTGTAGTCTAAATAATTTAGTCACCAATCTCTCAAGGAGCATTAGAAGGAAAACAAAACCCAACTCAGCCCCTCCACTTCACGGAAGGCAGGCCAGGAGGCTGGGAGGCAGCCCCAAGCTGCATAGAAAGCCTCCCTTCAAAGGTTCACAAGGACTGGCAACCTTCCAAAAATGGCCTGGGGTCTGGTTTTGTACAGCCCTTGAGCTAAGAATGGTTGTTACATTTTTTAAAAGGCTTTTTTAAAAGACAAAACACACAACAACAAAGAAAAACATGTCAGAGACTGTATATGGCTTGTAAAGCTTAAAATAATTGCTATCTGGCCGTTCCCAGAAAGTTTGCTAACCCCCTAGCCCATTCCCCAGTCTTTTTTTTTTTTTTTTTTTTAAGATTTATTTGACAGAGAGAGAGAGATCACAGGTAGGCAGAGAGGCAGGCACAGAGAGAGGGGGAAGCAGGCTCCCTGCTGAGCAGAGAGCCCGATGCGGGGCTCGATCCCAGGACCCTGAGATCATGACCTGAGCCGAAGGCAGAGGCAACCCACTGAGCCACCCAGGCGCCCCCCATTCCCCAGTCTTAAAGGAAGAGCTGACACCCTCGGACCTACTCTTTGACTACCCCACTCCCTGACCCCACCATGTGCAGAGATTCAAAGTCAGAGAGTTCTGATATTTACAGATGAGTGAGAAGCTGGCATCATTTTCCACCCCATTGCCCAAATCAGAACGAAACAAAAACAAGAAGAAACACCCTTGAGTGGAGTGAACGGTCTTGGTTCTACTGCTTGGGGAAGAAGAGGAAGCAGCAATGATGGGCTGAGGTTCAGCCTCAGTTCATCATCCGGGGGTCAGAGGTCAGCATCATCCTGGTTGGTCTCTGCTGACACCCTTCCCTTCAAGCTCCATGCCCTCGACACACACTCTGAGATCCTGGTGATCCCAGCGGATCCCAGCTGATCCTAGAGGTAACATGTACAGATGAGATACCCAACTAGCCCCTGTCTCTGAGTCCCTAAAGCCTATGTCAGTCTGACTCTGCCAACCCTCAATCCTGGACAGAGGCTCCATCCAGCCCTGCAAGAGCTCCCCTATGGCCCAGCAAGGCCTTTGAAGGTAGGGGACTGTGACCAGTCCTGGACTCCACCCAGAGCCTCTCCTGGAGCCAGAGCCTCTGAGAATTCCATACAGGCTAAGTCCTCGGGAAGAGATGTGTCAGACTAGACACAATGGGGCTGCTGGCTCAGAGTGCCCAGATGTAACTGGGCTGAGCGATCTCTGGCTATCACTGGGCCTGGTAGTAATTTTGGGGGCTGAGGGCCCAGTGGAGATCCAGTGGTCCCACATGCTGGCATGTAAGTATTCTGGACTACTTCAGGTAACAGGGACCTGTTCTAGAGTCTCCCAAGAAAAATGTTGCTGCTATCCTACCAGTCCCCTGAAGGCTTCTCTTCTTGAGATACAAACAACATGGAAGGCCCAGGTTGAATCCCATATCTGGGTTAAGCAAAAAGCCTTAGAGATTTGGAAGCCCAAACTGGGAGATCTGGGGCAGGTCCTCTTTCCTCTTTGGGACTCAGCTTCCTCATCTGTTAAAATAAGCAAACAAACAAAAACTTGAAGTCTTTGCATGGGAGTGATTTTAAGGGCCTGTATGAACCATTCCCAATGAATAGCCAAAACCAGGCCACACCTCTGCAGAGCTTTGCTGGAAAGTTGTCTGGCTTCATGTCAGCTTTCACTCCCCAAGTCAACCCAGTCCCGTGCAAATGAGGTACAGCTGGTCTCTCATGGGGGGAAAGGTTTTCCTTAGGCATGTTGGCAGCTTGCTGGGTGTTCAGACTGACGTGAGGGAGGGACGTGGCAGGTGGTGAATGTGACTTCTTGTCTTCTTGCCTTGTGCTGAGGGGTTGGCCAAAGGACCATGGGGGTCTCACCCTCACACCCCCAACATGTCCACAGAACATGACCCATATATGGTCTACATGGTATGGTCCCTTACCATGCGCATTAACCTCAATTAGCTCAGCTGTCTTTCAACAACTCTCCAACTTGACTGGACATTCCTTAAGGGCAGGAATTGTATCTTGACCTTCTTCTGGGTCCCCTAGGAGAACCCAGCACAACACCAGGTATGTGGCCAGAGATCTGTCCTTATCTGCTGAGTAACTTAACTGAGATGCCCCCTGGGAAGAGTGATTCTTCACTTGGCACAGGGCACGTGTCCAGGTAAGTGAATCTCCACTTTTGCTGGCTGATAATAATACCATTCTTCAGTCCATGGCTCAGTCAAGCTGTCCTGTCCAGCACGTGACCCAAGAGCTATCGTGTGACCTAGAGAGCAGGCAATAGAGGGAGAAAGGAATGGAGAAAGGAATGCCCAAGACTCCTCAGGAGGTGAAGGTCATATGAAGGTCATCAATGCTGTCCCCTTATCCCTAAAGCAGACTGGGAGAGCCCAGTAAATCAAACACACCTCAGAGCACTTGCTTCAGACTGGTGACCCAAACTGTAGGCACAGCATCTATGGGCGACAAATGCAAAACTATAAAACAGTGACAAATGTCACAAGCCCGGTGGTGGGTCTCACTCTCTCCTGGTCTTAACCAGGCTCAGAATGGCTGTCTCCCTTGCCTGCTTGTAGCTAGGAAGTGCTACACTTTTCCTAGCTGTGATCCTTCTCTTCTGTGCTCCCCAAATATGTGGCTCTCTTCAGAGCCCCAAAGGCTGCCTTCTCTTCTGTTTATGTGTCTGTTTGTTTGCTCTCCCGGTGGTGGGAAGGGATCTGCCTTGCCTCAAGAGTCACTCATCTTTACAAATGGTGATGGCACAGCCATGCCACTGATTAGTTATGACACACATGGAATTGCCAATGAGTTTGATACAATTTTAATTACTCCTTGTTCTGTGGCGGCAGGCAGTAAACTACGAAAGTAATAATCCTCTTGGGTGCCCTCAAGGTAAAATGAGAGCAAGACAGGTGTGAGCTGCAGGGAGTTAATCCTGGGGGTGGGGGTGGGGTCTGCGGCAGGGGTGGGTGGGCAGAGGGGCTCCCTGCACAGACTCCCCTCTGAATTATCTGGACCATTTCCTAATTCTCTATCTTGTTCTTACGGACCTGCCATTTTCTCGGAGACAAACTCACCTTAGGGAGAAGAGGAAACCAAGGCATATGGAGCATCAAGGATTGGCCCAAGACACATCAGACTTCAAATCCCGAGGCCCTAACTCCGGTCCCCAGAGTGGAGACAGTCCAGAGGGACTGTCCGGGCATGTGCCCACATAGTTCACGGATCTCAACTGAGGACACAGATCTCCTCAAAGCCCCCCACCCCTCTCCTGAGCCCTGTCCCTCCACACCCAATTCGAAGAGGGAAGAGTAGGGAGGGATAGAGGGGCCGTCCCTGGATACCTTGGTGGTTTTGACTTTGTGTCGGCTGCTGCAGCTCCATCCTGACAGATCCGGGAGCACTCTGCACTCCTCCCCCGGCAGGCAGGGCTCCATCTGACACCACCACTTCCGCAAGACGATGGAGGCTGTGTGAGCAAGGGACAAGGAGAGGCAGGGCAAGCTCTCCAAGGAGCCCTCTGGTGGGCAGATGTGGGTGTGAGCCCAAGCGGGCACCTTTACAGCCCTGCCACATGAGGGAGCTCATGAGCACGGGTGGGATCGTCGGAGAGGGGTGGGTGTGAGTGACCCCTGCGTGTCCACGTCAAGGTCACAGGGGAACAAGAGGAGGGCGTGTGTAAGAGGCCGATGGAGGAGCAGGAGGGGAAGAGGTCAAGGTCTGCTGCCCAGTTTGGGAGCAAAGATTTGTGAGACAGAATGTCTCATCTCACTCCCGCCCATCAGGCAGGGAGTGCGGATAAGAGAAAGGGCCCTCACGAACAGAACCCCTCCTTCTCTATGGAGCGGGCAGTCCCATCTGCCCTCCTCCCTGCAGAGGTTACCCATAATTTCAGACAGATCACAAAAGCCCTGGGCTGGTATGAAATTGTATCCGAGCAGATGGTGCGGCCTAGACAGACCTTCTTCTTCTTCTTCTTTTTTTTTTTTTAAGATTTTATTTATTTATTTGACAGAGTGGTCACAAGCAGGCAGAGAGGCAGGCGGGGAGGTGCGGGGGGCGAGCAGGCTTCCTGCGGAGCAGAGAGCCCAATGCGGGACTCGATCCCAGGACCGTGAGATCATGACCTGAGCGGAAGGCAGAGGCTTTAACCCACTGAGACACCCACGCGCCCCAGACAGACCTTCTTATCTCTGTGATTGGGCCCTCCCCAGTGGGCCGGTCTCTCACTCACCGTCCACGCAGGAGGGCTTTGCGCGGGTGGTGCCGGCCACCTGGCCGGAAAAGCAGGAGCACTTGACCGTCTGGGAGCGCTCCTCGATGCGGTTCCGGTTGCAGCAGCGATGAGCGGCAATCACCTCGCAGGCGCCCTGCTTCACCAGGACTGAAGTGGTGGAGATCAGGGCCCAGCCCACTCAGGAAGCCCAGCTCTCCTCCCACCTGCCCTGCTTTTTCTCGGGCCCTCTTCCCAGCCAAGGGGAGGGGTGTTCAAAGGGTGGCCTGCTGCAGGGCAGGAGGAGGAAACACGAAATCCTCCTGCTCCTTCCACGGTCTCGCTCGTCTTTCCTTCCGCCCCAGCGAGGCGGCGCTCATCCCTCTTCCACAGACTCAGGCCCTTGGGCAGAAGAAGAAAGGTGGAATTCCCCACCAGCCCTACTTCCTCCAGCTTCTTCCGGGTGAGGGCCCAGGGGCTTAAAATGCATGGGGAGGATCATCGGTTTACACAGGCTTTAGCCATCCCAAAAGGAATACCACATAATTAGGCCAGGAGGTTAGACTTAAGCCTCCTCCCCACCGCCTCTCTCCCTGCAGAACATGGTCTGGCCTGGAAGGAAAGGGAGCCACAGGTCTGCCCACAACTTCTCTGGGCTGGGATGGCAGAGTGGGGGCAGATTTTCCTGGGTGAAACACAGAAAAGGAGCCAGAAACCCTAGAATCCACATTTTACCTGGCCTTGGCGATCTGCCAGCTCTGGAATGGGGTGGAGCAGTGCCCAGCTCTCCAGACCTCCAGGAAAACCCTCCCCCAGGCTCTGTCACCTGCCCCAAACCTGTGGGAGTTGGCGGCTGCAAGGAAGCTGAGGCAAGGAGGGTCCACAGCAAGGCCAGGGAAAGTGCCAGCAGCCAGTGGCCCGTGCTCCGGTTCTGAGAGGTCCTCTCACACATCCTGGGGAGAGAAGCACACAGCCGGCTGAACACCGAGCAGGAGCTCAGCAGGGCCCAGCCCCAGCACCATGCACTTTGGGAGGCCCAGAGGTGGGCAGGATGCACACCTTATCCCCAGCGGCCCTCAGCCTGGCACAAGATCACTGTACAAGGCGGTGACTGTCCGAGAGAGAGACTGTCCAGTTGGGAAAACCACCACGGAGAGCTTTGTGGGGGAGAGGCCTTTTAAGAGGGCCTTGAAGGGTCTTGGAGGGCCACGGGAGGAACTATACTGCTGACTCCCATTTTTTTGAGCCCTTGACCCAGGCATGTCACATACATGCTCCTGCAGCCTTCACAACTGTCCTACAAAGTGGGATTATTTGTACCTATTTGACAGATGAGCAAACTGATCCTCACAAAGCCTGGACAGAACCAAAACAACCATCAATAAAGGAATGGCTAAATACATTTGTGGGGCATCTGTACAAATGCAGTTACCTCCAGGCCGCTATAACACAGAAGGAGGAAATGCTTTATGTACTGAGGCATGTAATGATCTCTAACAATAAGCCACCATGAAGGCTTATTGTGCACCACAATAAGTGCACCACAAAGTGCAGGATGGGGTGTAGAAAATGCATTAAAGGGAGGGATTTTATATATGTTGCTTAAATATGTATAAGCTAGCTCTGGAAAAGGTACCAAAGAAAACCTAGTAATATTGAGTGTCACCAAGAGGGGGAACTGGTTCACTGAGAGATGGAGGTAGAAGGGAGACTTAATCTTTTTCCCTGTTGCTTTTTTACTGGGGGACGGGGGTGGGGTGTTAAACTGTAAGAATGTAAGCAATTCTTTTTCAACAATTTTAAATTTAGAAAAGAAGAAATGACACCAGAGCTAATGGAAGTCAAATGATTGCCCCAGGCCAGGCAGCACATGGGGGTGCCCGAGCCCAGAGCCCAGAAGCCTGGCCTATTCCTACCACACCACTTGAGCTTCTTCTCCTCTAACCTTGATGGGTCAGGCCTCCCATCTATCCCAGAGGACGAGCTAGAGACAGAGGGGATCCCAAGGACACAGAGGCAGAGAGCAGCAGGAGGCTGCCCAGGCATAACAGGAGTCTGCCCCCTCCTCCACTGCACTGATGTCCTGCCCCCCTGGGACATCGCTGGAGTCCCTCAGCTGTCAGCACTGCCCTGGGATCACCAGAGGCCAAACCAAATGCTGGGACTGTGGATTAGGTTCTTGATCTCTGTCCGCACCACCATCCCCTCAACTGTCCCCTCTTTGGTGTCTCCTCACTCACTTTTTTGGGGATCTTTCAGCTTCTGTCTGTTCATCCACAGGCCTCAGACTTAACTCCACCTAGGCAAGTAGGAAAGATCCTTGGGGGTGGTGTGGACAGGAACAGAGGGAGCCTGTGGCCCTACAGGAGGTGAAGGAGCACCTGGGTGAGGACAAAAGGCGCCCTGGAGTAGAGCCCATTTCTGAAGCTGTTCCTCAAGGAGCAGGGCGGGGAGAAGAGGCTCTCCTCTGCCTTGCAAACTCTGGGAACACACAGGGCAGCTAGCCTGAGAAGAGTAGCCTGAGGATTTCTCTGGCCCAGGAGTGAAGCAGGGCAGACAGTGGGGAGGTGTCTAGGAATCAAGGCTATCACGGCTCTGGCCTTGGGAGGGAGCCGAAGGCCAAGGACGGATTTCTGAGCAGGATCTGACAAAATGTTGCTCCAAGAGGCTCTGGGAAAAGACCCCTATGTCTTGAATCCTTTTGCCTCCACCTCCTAGCTCCACTGCACCTGCGTCCTGGACTTGAGCGGAGCTGGCTCCATTCTGCCCCCGTCACTCCCATTTCCATTCTGGAGGGCTAGAATGGGGTGCCTCCGAGTCTCAGGGACCCCAGCCCGACAGCCTCTGCATTCTTCTGGAAGACCTCTCCTCCTTCAGCCTCCAAGGGGAGGTGGAGCTGAAGCAGGTAGGATGGTGGGGCTGAGAGGACTATAGGGACAGATGGAAGAAGTGGTGCCAGTACCCCAGAGATAGGTGTGTTCCACGGGTAAATGCTTCCCAGCCTTCTCAATGTATCTCTTTTCTAAGTGGGTATCTCCTCTCCCTGTCCTCTTCAGGAACCTTCATTTTGATCATTTCAAATACAGCTTTGTCTTCTCTCTCAGGCAGTCCTCATCCCTTTTTCCTCTGAGCTGCCACACCATCCAACCCAGCTCTCCTCTGAACCCAAAGACCCAAAAGATGGGGGGTGTGCTTTTGGGCTGAGCTCTTAGGCATTCTATTCCCTCCCTCGGGAGAAGGGGGAAAAGAAGCTTCTAGGGTTTGTTCTGGGCTTCCACACTCCTGCCTCAGTTTCCCAGACTGTTTTCCCCAAACCCAGATGCAAGGTATGGGGAGGCTGAATTAGCAGCCAGCATACCAGCATAGCGTTGAGGATGTGGACCAGGAGAAGCTTTAAGTTTCCCTGTCTTCTCCCGGCCCCCTCCAGCGCCCACTCACTGCTCCAAATTCTGAGCCCCAGGATCCACCCGCCCCACGGCGGTGCCCACTTGCCTCTGAGTCCGGCACCAAGACTCCGAAAGGCGGACTTCAAGCGGGAGCGGCCGGCGCGAGTGCTGTCGAGTCTGGAGCCTCGTGTCCCTCACCAAGTTGCTGCCGCGTCCCCGAGGCGGCGGAGCTTTGGCCAAACTGGCATCACGGTCATGCCCGGCCCTGCTCCGCGCACAAGGACCTCCTGGCCCACCCCGCCAGCTCTGCGAGGCCAGCCGCGGTGTTTTGGAGGCTCCCGCCGGCAGGCCAGAGAGCGTGCAGCCGCCGCCTCCTCTCTGTCGCTGGGGACCGTCCCCGCTCCGCCAGCCCGGCGCGGGCACCACAGCCTCCTCCAGGACAGCTCCCCGCGCCGCGCAGAGCGCTCGGCCGGGCGGGCTGGCCCAGACGGGCGCAGTGGCCCCTGGCGGCCGAGGCGAGAAGAGCGAAGAGAGGCCCGCCGGTCCCGCGGCGCTGTCTGCAGTCCCGGTGAACACCTCCCTGGGGCAGGCCGGGATAACCCAAAGAGGTCCCTCAAAACCCTCCGTCTTGCGGCTTTCGGGGAGGGAGGGGGCTGTGTGTGAGGAGGGACTGCCAGGATCCCCAAGGGTTTTGACTCCTGAAGATTCTAAAATTGCACGGTCCAGTAGGATAGCCACTGATTCTATGTGATTATGTAAGTTTAAACATAAATTAGATAAAACCCAAAAATTGTTTATTTGCACTGGGCTCAATAGTCACATGTAGCTGGGGATTACTGTATTGAAAAGATACAGAACATTCCCATCATTGCACAAAATTCTATTAGATAATACATTTCTAGATTGATATGTTAGCCCTTCACTGTGAAAATGTTAAAATCCAGGAGGGAAGAGCAAATGCTCTCTACCCTAGGAGTGGTGTCTTCAGGGACAGGAAGGACTAGAGGAGGCATGAGGGTGGAGGCTAAGCAGGCAGGAGGGCTGCAATAGACTGATGTTGGGTCCTTATGGATGATGGCCATGAACCCCAACTTGAGAACCAAACTTGAGACCCAAAATCCTCATTATATGAGTTGCAATATAATTGCAATTTTGTAAATCTTTACAGGGTAAGAATCTGGATGTGGAAGCATTAGACAAATGGGAGAGAGAGGTCGTCTGTGAATTTGTCTCTTAGCAGGAGGGACACTCCTCATAGTTTAAGAAGGCTTTGTGATTGGAGTAATGAGGTGGGTAGAGGTAAGGGGGGAAAGCCTACTTCTGAGCTCTGAGCCAATGCACGTGGCTTAGGATAAAGGGGCCTGTCTTGAGGATGCCCTGTCCCCCTTACTGGCCAAGGCCACACACACCCCTGGCAGGGCCAGGCACTGAACAGTCTCAGTTCTCAGAGAAGAGTATCTCCCAAGTCTGACTCTCTACCCGTCCCCTTTCCTCTTCCCCTTTCTGCTGCCTCCGGGACTAGTAGAAATGATGACTTTCTTACCAGGTTCTGGGGCAGTCTGAGGATGGAGAAAGTGTGATGATGTCAGGAATCAGAGGTAAGATGTTCAGAGAGAGGAGAGTCTTAGGATTTAGGGAGGGGGATGTGGTTCTGGAGCCCAAGAGTGCTGTTGACATCCCCACTACCCATCTGCTGCTGGAGCTAGGGATCTTTCTGTCCTGGCTCTGTGGCCTATTAGTAGCTACACCATGGTGGGTGCTGTGAAGAGCAGGTACCAGGGAGCAGGGTGACACAGAGAAGTGGGAAGCCAACTGCCCCAGAAACACTGAATAATAAAAATAGCCAGGATGTTATATTTTTTCATCAGTCTTGGCTTGCTGTTGTTGTTTATGCCATTTATCTGAGAGCTGATTCTAGTTTTTCTCGAACAGGAGGGAAATACCCATAGCAACAGCATGGTTTTTGCCTCTGTTTGCCTTTGCCAGTCTATGGGCCTTTGCATCTGATTTGTTTTTCTTTTCTTGTGACTTCTATTTTTCTGGCTGTCTCTGCCCAGAGTGTAGGTATAATTACAACAAGTCTAAAGACTCAATGAAGGGTCCCCTGAGTGGCTCAGTTGGTTAAGCGTCTGCCTTTTGACTCAGGTCATGATCTCAGGGTCCTGGTATCAAGCCCCATATTGAGCTTTCTGCTCAGTGGGGAGTCTATTTCTCCCTCTCCCTCTGCATCTCCCGCCCCCCACCCCCACCCCAGCTCATGATCTGTCTCAAATAAGTAAGTAAATAAATAAATAAATAAATACCTGAATGACCATTATGAGATGTTTATTTGGAAGCTGGGAGGAAAGCCACTTCTTCTGGCACCCCAGCTCAACCTGCAGTCACTCGGAGGCACCAATAGTCTGAGCGGTCCTGGCGTTGAACTTGCCCTGCTTGTCCAGCCAGACAAGCTCAGGAAAAAAGAGGGCTATGTTCAGGGAGCATTCTGCCCACAGAGCCCAGTGATGGGGTCCCAACCATGAACTCGGTGCTAGTGATTCCTGAGAGCTACCCTGACTTACATTAG